AATCTCTGTGAGTTCAAGGCCAGCCAGGGCTACATAGTGAGACCCTTTTTCAAATAAAAAAAAAGAAATGCTAGGCATGGTGGTGCATGCCTTTAGTCCCAGCACTTGAGAGGCAGAGGCAGGCGAATCTCTGTGAGATTGAGGCCAGCCTGGTCTACATATGAGTTCCAGGTTAGCTGGGGCTACAAGGAGATCCTATCTCAAAAAGACAAAAAAAAAAAAACTCAAAAGCAAAACAAAGCAAAACAACCTCCCGAACCCCAAACCTACAGCTTTCTTTTCCCCACTAGCCCATAATGATTTGCTCAAAGTGGGCAAATTTCTGGAAGAACTCTCCAGTACTCTCACTGTTCCCACCACTCTTCTCTGGATATACTTTGTTAACATTTCTGTTGAAGTCTGGTGCCTGTGACTGTACAGAGTATATCAGGTGTGGTCTGACTAGTGCAGAGTCGCACAAGCAAGATGATAGCCTCTTTTATTTTGACCCTTATGCTCTTTTTCTTTCTTTTTGTTTTGTTTTGTTTTGTTTGGGAGACTCTGTTTAAAAAAGACAAAAAAAAGAATATTTTGTCCAGTTGCAGGTATACTGTAGTTATGGTCTTCTCTTCATGGACTTTTCCAGTCTCCCCATCAGATGGGATGAGCTGAGTGGGAATGGCCTGTTTATTCTGACTTCATGCGAAGGCTGGACAATCTTCATTTTGTTTTGCAGATGTTTCCTAAGGCACCTTGTACTCATTTGCCCTCCATCGGTGTCACCTTTATTTCCCATCTCTTCCTAGGTGGGGCCCTTTTGTCCATCTCTAGGCTGCAGAATGCATCCCTTTCATCCCCTGTGGGGTTTTCAAAGCCACCACCAGGGGCTCCTTCCAGTCTGGGTTGATATTGACCAAATCATGACATGCAGCTCCTCCAAGCAGCCAGGTTTCCTGGGACTAAACTGCTTTCCTTTGGGCATGGTTCTGGACACTATGCACCACAGTGGCTTTATCCCTAGTAGTTATATAAGCAAGCACATGGCTAGGCCTACAGTCCTGGTAATCATTCTTCCATGGAGATTTCCACAGTGAACCTCTGACCCTTCACACACACCACAAGTGCAGATCCCAAGATAGCTGTGTCCAGCTCCTTAAAGGACTAAAACAGAAAGTAGATAAACCTTGGAATGTGGGCTGCTCCACTAATGATTTGAACAATGTGGGCTCAGGGCTGCTGCTCAGCAATGAGGCCCAGAACCTCAAGCCACATGGGCCCAGGAAGGACTGTCAATCAGTTTAAATTCTTGCTGTCTTGTAAGTCAGTTTGTCCATTCAGGCCTTTTAAAGGTATGAGGACCAACTGAAGCCTCTCACTGGTGGATCCCTAATAAGACTGGAGTTGGTTGTGCTATACCATCTTGAGTGTAAGAGGCCATGTCTAAATAGCCCCCCAAGGACAGGCCCATTGGGAATACCTGAAACGGAGCAATTGAAGGTTTAACATGGAAATACAGACTGAATAGACCCAAAAGGTGACATCACCCAGGCCTTAGCTTTCAAAGACTGAAGGATGCAACACAGTCATTCCATTTGGCAGCTGCTATTAGGGGTTTTGGGGGTACCCAGAGCATCTCCTAGCCTTAGCTACGTGTCATTCCTTGGCTTTCTCTTAGTCTTGCTTCCCTTCTGTCCTTTTTAGGAGTAGAGAACACAGATCATGAGAGAACACAGCTCTGTCCTTACTCCAGTGTCTCATTTTAAAGATGGTGATGGTACACTTGTCACATAGTAGGTACTTGGCAACCATTAGATGTTCCTCATCAGTTTTCTTGTTTCTAAATTTAAAAAAGCAACCCAGGGATTGGAGATATGGCTTAGCAGTTAAGAGTGTGCATTATTCTTACAGAGGACATGAATTTGGTTCCCGGCACCATATCCCATGGTCCATAACTGCCTGTAACTCCTGCTTCAGGGGATCTGACATACACAGACATACATGTAATTAAAGATTAAATCTTTCTTTTTTTGGAGACAGGGTCTCCCTGTAGCCCCAGCTGGCCTAAACTCATTGTGTAGAACAGACTGGTTTTGATCTCACAGAGATCTGCCTACCTCTGTCTATTGAGTGCTGGGAATAAAAGTGTGCACCACCACACCCAAAAATGTTTATTATTCTGAGACAGGGTTTCACTGTGTAGTTTTGGCTAGCCTGGAACTTTCTATGTAGACCAGGTTGACCTTGAACTCACAGAGATCCCACTGCTTCTGCCTCTGGAGTGCTGGGACCAAAGGTGTATGCCACCAAGCCCTGCTAAAAGAAAATCTTTTTTAAAAAAATTTATTTATTATTTTTATTTTATGTGTATGAGTGCTATGCCTGCGTGTAGGTAAGTGCACCCGTGTTGTGCAGTGCCCGTGGAGGACAGAAGAGGCTCTCAGATCCCCTGGAACTGGAGTTACGGACAGTTGTTAGGTGCCATGTGGATACTGGGATTTGAATCTGGGTCTTCTACAAGATCAACCAGTGTTCTTAACTGCTGAGCCATCTCTCCAGCTCAACAAATTCTTTTTTTTTAGTGTAATTGTGTGGTAATATTGAATGAGGCATGTCCATTCTATAACTTTTCTCACAAATAACTTTGTTTTTCTTGTTGATGTTTTAAAGAATATTTTGTTGGGTGTGGTGGCGCATACCTTTAATCCCAGCACTGTAGAGGCAGAGGCAGGCGGATGTCTATGAATTCAAGGCCAACCATGGCCACATAGTGAGATCCTGTCTCAAAAACAAAACAAAGCAAAACAAGAACAACAACAACAACAAAAAAACAAAAATAAAACAAGCAAATAGAAAAAGCTACCAAGTACTGGAGCCTTTGGCCCAGTGCTGCTGTTCTTTTCCAGATCCTCCTTACGCTCTCACGCAGGTTAAGATGTGCTAACAAAGGCCAGACCTACTCCTGTTTTGGGTGGGATACCTAACCAGTGCAGGAATAGGGAAAGCCCAGCAGGATGATGGGAAGGGTCATCTACTATTGGGTCAAATTCTAGATCTCTTTTTTGTTTGCTTGCTTTTGTTTTTTCAAGTAAGGGGTTGGGGGCTGGAGAGATGGCTCAGCAGTTATGAGTACCTCATGCTTTTGCAAAGGACCGGAGTTTGGCTCACAACCACCTGCAACTCCAGCTCCAGGGGGATCTGGCCCCTTTGGGCACCTGCATGCATGTGGCATACACACACACACACACACACACGCACACACACACACACACACTAACAACAGAAAAGGACAGGGGGCTGTAGAGATGGCTCAGTGGTTAAGAGCACATATTGCTCTTGCAGAGGACCCAAGTTTGGTTTCCAGCATCCACATCAGGTGGCTCACACAACCTGTATCTCTAGCTCTGGGGGATCCCATTCCTTCTGGCCTCTGCAGGACCTGCACTCATGTGCACATGTCCACACTCAGACATATACAAGCACACATAATTAAAAATAAACTAAATCTTTGGAGAAAAGACAGGGCCCATGTCGTCTAGGCTGGCTTCAAACTCACTATGTAGCTAAGGCTTACTTTGAACTCCTGATCCTTCTCCTGCTGCCCCTCCCAGGTGCTGGGATTACAGGTGTGCAGCACCATGCTGGCTCTAGGTTTGTTTTTAACTGGTGTGATGGGCTAGGAGAGCCCATGTCTCTAGCTATAAAGTAAGTGTATTGGACTAGATACCTGCCTCTGGGGCAACTTCTAGCTCTCACACTCCCTGGTTATTTCCCAGCTCCTCCCCAATGTTTTTGTTTTTATATGTGTTAGTTTCCGCATTTATTTCAGAAAGAAGAAAGGAAATAAAGGAAGGAGAAAGGAGGGCAAAAGTCTATTCTCCAATCACGAACTCACTTAACACGCACCTCCTCTCCCAGCCATTCTTTTAACTGTTCCTGTGTTGAGCCAACCATTGCCCGTTGCTCTTGTCCTAGGCACTACATTAGTGTTGTAGTTCTGGGTTTTGATCTTCGTACATACTGACTTGCACTCATCCGGTTTGAACATCATCCTGCTGTCTGTATGATGGCTCATCTCCCTCATTTTGTGCAGGTCACTTTGAAGAATTCTATTCCTGGCTTCTGAGGTAGCGGCAACCCTGCCCAACTGTCACACTTGATGAGCAGACTTCAAGTTCAGTCCTTCAAGTTACAGAGGATAATAGGAAACCCCACAATTCTAACCCCAAGGAGCCCTCCCCCCAACTTAAATCCATTCCCTATAGTTGTCAGAGAGCCTCTGGTGACAGTCCTGGAGAGAAATTGCTCCCAGGGCTCCAAGGACTTCTGCAATTCTGATTCACAGAAAAGGAAACCCCCATTTCTGGGGAAGGAGAGGGGACCTGTTGTCGGTCATCAGAGGCAGAGGAGGCCACAGGCGGGGTTGCCCCATACACACTACATTTCTAAAGGAGAGAGAATGTCAGCAAGTCAAAGGTCAAGCTTCCCCCCAAGCCCCATCCCAAGATGAAGGTAGGATGATGGCTGTGGTAGTGGTAGCCATGGTGGTGGCCTGGTAGCAGAAGAGGAAGGATTTTTTTTTTTTTTCTGTTTCATTAGGAGGCAGGAGGTGATGAGAGGTTTCAGCTGCAGGAACCCAGAGCACTGGAAGGCAGGGGGATGGGACAGCAACGTGATTAGGATCAGAGAGGCCTTGTGCAGGGGGCCCAGGGGGCTGGGCAGAGCGCAGCCCAGACATGCAGAGCTGCAAGGCAGGAGGCCTCAGGCTGCTGGAGGATTGAGCTTCCAGCCTGTGCAGGCGCCTGGCTCCAGGGGCTGTTGGGACAAGGCCTGTGCAAGGGAGGCAGATTGGGAATGCTAACTGGATTTTTTATTTTTATATCAAGACACTGTGTTTAAAATTTTTACAAAGGACAAACTCCATGGGTTTCCGTTAGTGTTTTAAGAACTTTTCTTTAAAAAAAAAAAAAAAAGACAAAAAAAAAAAAAAAAAAAAAAAAAAAAAAAAACCCAAAAAACAAAAAACCACCACCACCACCACCAACAACAACAAAAAAAAACAACCCGCTGTTTTGAAAGAGAAATGACAGACACAAAGAGACTGTAAAGAAAATGGGGCAAATTTCTGATATCATTTCCCCAAGGGCAGAGGCAGAACCCAGATTATATACCAGCGGGCTCACCAAGGACACGGTCTCCACAGTACTTTGTTCACCAAACCTAGGCTCCCCTAGTCTAGCCAGGCTTATGCTACTGGCTGTTGGAGAAGCAGACCACTTCGAGGCTCTGCAGTCCTCCATGGAAACACAGAGCCATTTGGTGACCTATCCTCGATGGCCCTCCATCCCCATCCATTGCTAGCCTCTTCCTCCTTTCACCCCATAGTCTTGTTCCAATCTGTTTCTTTCTTGGGGGTCCTTTTCCTTGGTCTGATTATGTGAATACTGGGAGCCCCAGAACCAGAGAGTCCTGAGCTGGGGTCCTCCCTTCCAGAGCTGCTTAGCACTCAAGTGGTTGGAAAAGCATTGGTTCCAAATATTATTTAAAAAATCAACAAAAACAAGACCCAGAAAAAAAGACCAAGTCTTGGGGAGGAAGAGCTATCCCGCTCTTTAAAGCTCCCGAGTCTGCAGGTGGTCAGTGGTGCAGTTCCGAGAGAGGCCGAAGGCAAGCACCAAGGGGGTGTCTGGCTGTAGCTTCCAGGGCCCCCAGGAGTGTCTGTGGTCGGGCTCAGGGAGCTGGTTCCAGCTGCTGTTCCATGGGTCCTTGGTACCAAGGACTCATATGTGTCCCCACTTGAAGGGTCTGTTCAGGTTCACTTCTGGATTTGTGTTTTTGTACATGCGGGTGCATGTCCACATCTGTCTGTGTTTGTGCAGATGGGTCTGCTGTAAGGTGTGGGTGCGTGCGTGTACATATATGTGTTTGTGTGTGCATGTGTGTTTGTGGGTCTGGGAGGGAAGGAACTGGGAGATGGGCTGTGCTCTGGGCTAGAGCTATACACGGGTAGTAGAGTGTGAGTGGGGCAGCCCAGTACTGTTGAACCCTGCGGCAAAGGTGTTATAGGGGTGCAATGTTTGTAGCCCGACAAGGGAGTTGGGGATCATAGTAATGGTATTGGGAGTCATGAGTGGGATGTCATCAGGGGAGCGTCGCAGGGTCAGAGTGTAATCAGGCAATGTAGTGAGGCGCAGTGTGTCATGGGGGGGACCAGCCTCACACTCATGGTGAGTGGGGCCCAGCTGTAATGCTGCCAGCTCCTCCTCCGGAGCAGTTCCCAATTCTGGGGCACCAGTTCCCCTCTGAGGGCTAGGCTGCCTCAAGGGCTCCTGGCGCCGTTTGTCCTTACGGTAGTAGAGGGCAGCAAAGGCCAGCACATTGAGAAACAGGAGGGAGGCCCCCACGGCGATGGTGACACTCAATTCAGTGGAGTAGTCTCGAGGGTTCTCGACCAGGAGCGGCCCTGCGTCCTGGTCCCTGTTCCAGGACCCAGGGGCATTCTCATTGCTGTAGGCAGGTGAGATGGCTGGCCGCTTGGTGCTCCATGCCTTGCCATTAGGCCTGCGGGTGATGTGGGAGCTGTGGGTGGTGTCCGGGGGCGGCACTTTGGTGGTCGTGGATGTATAGTGGAACATGTCATGCAGGTTGTACAGGTGGGGCACCAGGTGTTTCCAAAAGGCCACCTTGGTGGCTCGGTAATGATCACGGACCCTTGGTTTCAGCCCGATGTGAAGGTAGAGCTGGTCCCGGGGATTGTATTTAGACCAGGCCACTTCCTCAAAGCGGTTGGCTTTGGTGTGAATGAACTTGGTGTCCTGGGGTACCGGCTTGTTGGGATCCCTGAAATACCACAGTGAAATCTGGGGTCACCACACTACCTGGATAAAGAAAAGGCCCAGCCTCCTTCCTCTCACCCCCAGCCCCTGTGGAAGAGGCCTTCCCTTGTCTAAAATAGCCCTCCATTTCCATCTTTTTCAGGGTCCTGCCCCCTTCCACACCCACTTCTTCCTCAGGGCTTGAATTCCTAGTTCCCTTGGCAGGCAGCATGGAAGTGTCTGGCTTTTCCCAGTGCTCATCTGCAGCCATTCAACTGTGGAGATGCTTTGTCTCCTCACATGCAACTGAGTATCAGTCTTTTCAGCTGCCCAGTTAGTTTTACCAAGAGCCCTCTGAAGACTCTTTCCAAATAACTTTTCTTCCCCTTTCACATGGACTCTGATCAGCTAACCTTGAAACCCACAGTTCTGCCCTAACTCCTTTCTGATCAATTCTGATGCTAACAGAGTTCTAAGCCTCAACATAATTTTCCTTTTGTGGGAAGGCACCAGGGCCTGGGGTAGGCTAAGCAAGAGCTCTACCACTGGCTACAACTCCATTTCCTTCAAAAACAAAAACTGAAGGAAGGAAAGTAGCACAGAACCTTGACATGGAGTCATAAGAAGGGGACTGAAGGTATTAACAAGTAAGATTTAGAGAGTTGCACAGGAAGGGAGATGATGGAGGAGGTTAGATAGAGGAGCAAAAGGGAGGGCATGCTGGGGTCCCAAAAAAGAAGACACCCCACTTTCTCCTTACCCGGTCTTGGCAAAGTTGGTCCAATAGGTCATAACAACAGCACTGAGCATAACATCATTCTTGGAGAAGTTGCAGGGGAAAAGGTCAGTGGGACCTACCATAGGGACACCAAAAACATAGGGCACTTCATCCCCATGAGCTGCATCTGACCAAGCGGGCTTCATGAGGCTCTGGCAGTGATGGTAGAAGGCATAGAAGTAGGTAGGTGAGCCATAGCGGGCGTGCAGATCAGCTGTCACTACCGAAGGCTCCACCCACTGGTGGTCAGTGAAGAGTGCCACCAGTGTTTTACGGCGGGTCTCAGGGTTGTCACGGTCTGCCCAGTCTGTGTACATGAACTTGATGGTCTCCCTCAGGGTGTCTTTACCCTCAGGATAGCCATACAGATTGTCCACAAAGTTGGAGACAGAGTAATCAAAGTCAGTGCCAGAGACACCATCCTCAGGGTCCACTACCCCTTCCACAAACTTGAGACCCTCACCCTGGTTGACCCCTAGCATGATATCATAATTGAGGAATTCTCCCTGTTCCATAAGGATCTCAGGGTCATCAGGAATGACATCACCATCAATCACAGGACCAAAGGCTACATGGTAGCGGGCTGGCTGAATGTCCTGTTCTACCAGCTCCTTGGCGCTCTTTTGCCGAAGACAATCGACCATATCCACGGTGTCCAGCACGTTACAGCCCACTTTGTCTGCCAGCAAGCTGGTATACTTCACTGGTTGGTAGTTCACAGCCCAGCTGGACAGAGCAGAGCCACTTTGGATGATGGCTCTCTGGAAAAGCCCTACAGAAGATAGGTGGCACTGGGTCAGAGCTGTCATGTCACACATGGCCATATAACACCTTATCCTTTGTCACTGAGACCATTCCTCCAAAAGATGGAGTGAATCCTTTGGTGGGGGATGACAGGGTAGGACCAGAGGGTGGTTGCTGAGCCCCTCCTTTGATTGCTTCCCTCCCTAGTTCCCCCATGCTTCACAGTCTTGCTGCAGGGGTTGGTAACTTGGGGGTTAAGGAAACACTAGGGAGAATTAACCCCTTGAGTCCCAGACATGGGCCTCCTTATGCTCCCTGTCTTTATCACTCCTTGTCTCTCCCTCTTGCTTCCTGCGCAGCTGGGCCCAGCTCTGTGCCAACGCACCACCAGGGAGCTGGTGCTTACACTACAAAGGGGTCTTTTTCATGAGAGATGAGAAATGCAGGCAGGAGAGAGCCTCACATTCTGGGAGTTTGGGGAAGGATACCAAGAGCAAAGGCCCTGGGGTCTGAGAGTCTCCCGGCACGTGGCCTGGCAATGTGGACTCTGCACAGATCCCCTTTTGCTGAAGCTATTGATGTATCACATCCAGATTTCCCAGAGCTAGAGAGACCCCATCCCCCAAACTCAAAAAGAAGAGGATTCTTCCACCTCTCAGAAGAAAGAACTATCATTCTATCCCTGGCCCCAGTATGCCTAAGGGCAAATTTGGCTCTCAGGTACACAAGTCCATTGCTCCAATGGAAAGACACTTTGCATGGGCAGAATGAGAGGAAAAGAAATGTAGATTACTTCTTAAGAGAGAGAGGAGGAAAGCCATTTTCCAGATTATTCTCCATGAGACAAGTATAGAAAAGCACAGAGAACAAATCTTGGTGTTTCTGAATTGCTGGGGATAGAACCCAGAGCCTTATGCATACTAGGTAAGTGCTTTGTCACTGAGCCACACTTCTACCCAGAGAGAACAAATCTTTAAAGAAGACAGGCTTCCAGAGTTAGCCCTCCCTAAGATACATAGCAGAACATGATTCCAGGAAGGCCCTCTCCTCCTGGGAATGAGCCCCAAAACAGAAGAGGTACTGGACCTCTCTACAGACAGGTAAGCCTCACAGCCAGTTATTTCACCCTCCTCCTTTGGGGGAAAAATGAGAATAATGAGAATTTTTGTTTGCACTACTGTCTCCTAGAAATAGATACTTCTCCTGGAGGTTCTGGGGATGTAACTCAGGCCCTTCCCTTCATTCATTCATTCATTCATTCATTCATTTTGTCTCTGTCTTGTCTCTGTCTCTCTCTTTTCTGTTTTTTTTGAGACAGTCTTACTAGGAGCCCTAGCTGGCCTCAAACTTGTGGCAGTTCTGCCTCAGCCTTCCAGATGCTGAGATTGCTACTACCATGCCTGGCTTCCCATTCCCTTTCTACAGAGATGCAAGTCCTCACTCACCAGTTACTAGAAGGCACAAAGACAAAACTTTTAGGTCAGTGAAGGTGACACCCCCCTCTCTGAGACAAGCCTTCTTCAAAAAAAAAGTCAAGTCTTCCAGTGAGAATATTACTAACTCATGGGGTCAGTTTCGGCTATAAAAATGTGTTCTCTCTCATGGATTTCCTCACTTAAGAGAAGGGCACTTATTTCAAGGACAATCTTTCTTCATAAGAAGCTCAGCTTTGCCTCTCAGAGATAGAGTGTTCTCAATAGCCTAGGTGTAGAGAGAACATTCCCTTGCCTTCCAAAATAGGGCCTATTCACCCCCCCTAGAAAGGTCGCTGGCAAAGGGACCCCCACCAGAAAGAGGCTAAAAATGGGCATCCCTTCAGTGAGTTGTCCAGCCCAGGAGGAGTCTGCAGTCTGACAGTAGTCCATTTCCCTCAGAAGCAGCCCACCAGGGAGTCTCACTTGAGACCTACCTCCCACTCAAGACCATTTCTCCTCTTGTACAGACTTGTTTTTTTTTTTTGAGAAAGGCAGACAATGAGTGTTTTTTACACCTAGAAATGAATTTCCACCTTAGATGTTGACTCTGAAGTAACATGCCCTTCCCATACTGAAAGATCTCTCCCTGCCTGAAAAGAACTATTGTCCTTTCGGAGAGAGGCGTTTCACTCCTACTCTCCCAAATAAGATGCCCATGTGAGATGAGCATCTTTCTCAGGGTGTAAATGGGGATTCTCTCACATGAGGAGATGTACTTCTTCCCCCACAGAAACATTTCCCTTCCCCAAACCTCCCACCCGAAGGGACAAGGAGCTGGTGGAAGAGGGCTAGATGATTCCCCTGGGTGCTCCTGGGAATGGAGCCAGACATTCTGGAGCCTGGAAGGCCTGGAGGCGCACAGCCAGCAATGAGTTACTCTGTGTTGGTCCCCAAGAGCTACTCACCCTCAGAATGATGTGATAGTGTGAGGAGGCTGACACAGGATGCACCGATGCCTGAGCCAAAGACAGTGATACGACGGGGATCTCCTCCAAAGAAGGCAATATTCTCGCTCACCCAGCGGAGGGCCTGGATTTGGTCAAGGAGCCCATAGTTGCCCTTGGCAGCCTGATCCCCAGTGCTCAGGAAACCTAGATTCAACAAAGAGCATGAGGATAATGAAGGCAGAGGGATGGAGAATTTGGTTTATGATGGCACTAATGAGTCTGGGGAGGTGTCACACAGAGGATGAGCATGTAGCCATGAAGCTCTTCCAATCTCACTAATTCTAATGTGAACTACTCCTATTTTACTGCTCCTTTCTGTAAAGCCCAGCATCATCAATATATAGGGTGAACCTCTGCCTCCCTCTCATGATCCAGTTTGGAAGGAGGGGACAGACCATTTGAAGTGGCTACATCGTCTAAGTGGGAGAGTTAAAATGCAGGATCTGTAAATGGCCAGAACCCAGCATTCTCTGCCCATACTATCCAGGGATGTGATCCTAATATCAGGCAAGACACAGTAGAGAAAGCAGGGACCCTGGAGTCAGACGGTCCTTGGTTAAATCCAGGATCTATATCGCATCTTAGCCATGTGACCTTGGGCAAGTTAAAAATCTAGGGGCCATAGTTTCCTTTTCTGTAAAGTGGGGATAAAAATACCTCAGACAGTTGTAACAAGGCTAAAATGAGCATAAGCCAAGCATGTGGTAAATCTACAGCTACATTTTCCCCCTTCCTTCCCTCTCTGAAGTGAAGAGCCTGAAGGAGGCAATCCCTAAGCTCTCCTTGCCCTTCCCCTGCAAATCTGTCCATCTCCACTTCTTTCGAGGGCCTTAGACGGCCCCCTTCTCTTCACTCTCGGGGCAGGTCCCTTCCTCCAACACCTAAGACATCAAAAACTCTAGGGGTGGAGCCCAGCAATTTGTGTTAACAAGCTCTCCAGGTGATGCTGACACATGCTAAAGTTGAGAAGCCCCTGGGTCAGACCATCTTTTTCATCTGGTGGAGAAATGAGGAAGCCACTGCACTGCGTTACCACAGAAACAGGTCTTCCCGCCCACCCACTGGGATTTGCTGCTGAGGAGACTACATGTCACCATGGAGACTACCTTCCCACCCACCTGCTGGGATTTGCTGCCGTGGAGACTTGTTACCATGGAGACTACCTTCCCGCCCACCTGCTGGCTATCCCACAGAGATGTCCTATATCCTGCCCCCCCCACCATGCTTCCATTTTGGACTGATCCTGCTGCCTCATTTCATGTCTTCCTTGATCTCTAAGGTTCCTTGGAAGGCTCCATCTATCTTCTCCTTCCCTCGGCTTCTGGAAGGGTCCTCTCTACGTGGGTGTAATGGCTGTGCTCCTACACACTGGAAACCCAAACTTGGATCAGTATTCTTTGACTCCACAGTTAAAAGCCCATTCACAGCACCTGGAATCAACTTGGTGTGAAGCATTGTTGGAGAAGCCCACAGCTCACAGAGATCTGGCTGGCCATCCTGGCAGTCTGCAGGCAGAAGCTTGATTCAAATAGACTCAAGCAGGCACAAAACCTCATCACTGTCTAAAGTACCTAGCTTCTGCAAAAGAACTCATCTCACCTCTTCAAGTGTGTTAGTAATTTACCTTTGGTACAACTGAGTATGTAAAGTAATTACTTATTCCTCCCAGCCCCTTGGCACAAGTGTTTTAGCCTCAGGTTCCAGATGAGGAAAGGAGAAGGGATTAGAAAAAGCCTGAGTGAAGATGAATGAAGGAAACCTTATTTCTTCAGATGGGGAACCAGCTTCTCCTTTAGGGGGCCTATTCAGAAATGAAAGCCATTCCTGCAAGTTTTGAAAACTATGCTGATCAAGACCCAACTCAGCTGCCCAAGCCTTGAGATCCTCTGGCAAAATTTTCCGTGAGACTTCCTTCTCTCATCTCTCCTTCCCCTATATTCCTTTTTCCTTTTCTCTCACTTAGACAATGCCAGACTCGACTTCAGTCTTTGTCAAGGCATCAGCGTTAAGATGTTTGTCCTAGTTGAGCATGGTGATGTACATCTGCAAGCATAGCACTCAGAAGACAGATGCAGAAGAGTTTCCAGTTTAAGGCCAACCTGGATAGAGTGAGCTCAAGGCTACTTTGAGCTATATAACAAAATCCTGGGGAGAGACGGGGGGGAGGAGAGATGGAGAGAGAGAGAGGGAGAGAGAGAGAGAAGAGAGAGATCTGCTGATCTAGAGTAGAAGATATAGGGTAGATTTCACCAACATGGCTGATCTCCTAGATTAGGAACAGGAGCCTGGAAAGGTTGGGTGGAAGGTTTGATCATACCTTTGCGCTGTCCTACCACAGGAGCTTCCAGATAAGCAAGGTGTGAAGTATATGGATGGTGTCATGCCATTGATTCTACTACAAGAAGAGTCCTGCCTCAAGTACTATATACCCAATGGGCTCAGGAAGTGATGGGGTGATCATGACTGACCAAAACCTCACAATCTAGGAGAGCAGCCATTCATTGACAGCTCCCTAGGATCTTGGCCATTCCCAGAAGCCATGTGAGAATAAAGGATCAAATATCCAACTCCACAAACTGTCAAAATAGACCTGAGGTAGTCTCCTTGGACCTAACTTTATACTGCATTCTGTGGTAAGCTGCTTTCCAACAGAAGATGGGGGAACCTGACAGACTGTATGCAAACCAGACATTTGTGTCACTCTAGGCTTGACATTCATTACACTTTCAGTTTGCCTGGAGGACACCTGAGCAAGGATGTAGAATTAAGTTAATTCTGGAACCCAGAGTAAAACTTGGCAAGTCACTTCTTCTTCAGCTCCATGTACATCTACATTCAGTATCCTGCTAGAGTCCTTTTCTTTTGCTGTCCCTATGCCCAGTGGGAGTTTCTTAAATAATAGCTACTCCTCTGATTTGTGTGGGATCCACAAACTAGCCTGTGATAGTCTCAACATACACGGACCAGCCTAGATGTCTAGAAAAGCTCCTTACATTGACTGGCTGCACTCTGTATTCAGGAGATGCTTATGGAGGGAAGGCAACTGAATACTTGTAACTGGGGTTTAAAACTAGCCACCTGTTTTTGGATGCTTTGGAAAACAAAACAACAGAGCCTCAGCTACACAGCAAACTCCCCAGGCATCAGGGACAAACCCATGTTCTGTATCTAGTGCCAAGAACCAAAAACATCTTGTATGTACCCAGAATGCAATCAGTGGCTTATTGATAATATTTGTGTTCCAGAACAGGAACTGAAGGGTACATAGGAAGTGGTGGAGAACTTTTGATCAAATCTCAGTTTATAACTCCTTCTGAGTGTGGAGTAATACTATTTGGATCATGAATTGCTTAAGTTCAAAGAATAATATTCGTGACCACCCTCCAGATGCACTTTTCTGATTATCCAAATGAGAGGTTTTACAGGTGGTGCTCTTTTTTGTCTTTTGGAGACAGGGTCTCCCTCTAGCCACAACTGGCTTGGAACTCACTATGTAGACCAGGCTTATCTTGAACTCACAGAGATCCGCCTGCCTCTGCCTCCTGAGTGCTGAGATTAAAATTGGCTTGAATCTCACTATTTAGCCCGGGTTTATCTTGACCTCACAGAGTCCCCCCTGCCTCTGCCTCCTGAGTGCTGAGATTAAAGGTGTGCACCACCATGCCAGGCAAAGTCAGTACTCTTAGCCTGAGTTTCATGGATGAGCTTCAGGGAGAGCTGTGAAGTTCTTTTTATAAGTATGTGAATACTGGGTATGGAGGTTTGTGCCTATAATCCTAGTACTTGGATGTAGAGACAGGAGGATCTCAAGTTCAAGGACAGCCTGTGTGTGCTACACAGTGAGAGTTGGTCTCTAAAACAAAAAAACTTTGTGTGTGTGCACATAGCCTTCATTAGAATCTCAGAAGAGTCCAAGGCCCCCCTCAAAAGGTCAAGAACATCTCATAGAGAAGCTGAAGGATTAGGGAAGCTGAAGGCATGTGAGGTAAGCAGCAAATCAGGACATCATGCAGAATGCTCCCACCCAGTAGTCTTCTATACAGCCTGCAGCTCCTGACCGATACTGAGAAGACCTCGTATCCCACTGAGAACTACTGCCTCTTGCCTCCTCTTGGCCTCATTCCTTATGGTGCTCTCAGTCTCTTTTCCCTCCTCATTTTATTTTATTCACTTCCTTAATTTCTTCTTCTTTTCTTCTCCACTTTCTTTTCTTCCGTCCCTAGCTGGTCTGATAATATAGAATTGGAACATATTCTTGGTATTCACTGCACATCCCAAGACATCTTGTAGAATGGAGTCTTGTGCTTACAATCCTTAAAAGCAGCTGAATCTAGTATTTTCCTTTAGTCAAAGGAAAGAAATTAGCAAATTACTTTGGCTGCCAACTACTGTGTATGCATATCTGCATATCTGTGTGACTGTACTTGTGCATTTATTACTTTCAGAACCGTGTGGCCCTAGTGTGTGGGTTTAGAGTCACCTTCATAGTACTGTGACACTCAGATCCCTTTTCTGAATAGGACATAAGGGTATACAAGAGTCTCGCCATGGTGTCTGGGGCAGTACAGAAAGATAGAGGAACAAGGAAGAATCATGAAATCCAAAGCCCGTCAAATCCTGGAGAGGTCATAGAGGTGCCCTGCATGTTCTATACTCAGTGTTCCAGGAGCCACTGAAGGGGACACAGACTAAAATTTTTTCAGGCATACCATTTTTCCAGATTGAATCCAAAAATAGGTGTTTTTATATCTCACATAAATTTAGGGGTAAGTCAAGAGGACACCACCATTCTGTGCACACAACCTGCCCCAGAAGCAAAATACAGCACCAGGGCCTCCAGGACTGGAACTGACAAAGCAGTGTAACCAATAGCAAGTTTAAACAAGGTTCTGTTCTGAAACCAGACTAACTGCTGATTCAGCATCCAGGCTCACAAACCCTATAGACAGCTAAGGCCCCCACTGGAACTCTGAGGACACAACCCCCCAGGAGAGAAGTTGACCTCTTCAAAGCACTACAAGAATGTGGACCCTGAAAGGGGCAAGATCCTATATGCTTTGTCACCATCTCGAGGCATGTTTATCTCAAAACCTTGGCCACAGATAGGCACTGCTGGTCATCAAAGAGGGTATAAGATAGAGGAACAGCCTAAATCACCTAAACAAGCATTCACATAGTACATATGTGGTAGGCAGGGTATATGGGGGGGTCTTTCAGAAATAAGTGTGTATGCATATGAGTATGTACACATAATGGGTGAGAGTGAAGGAATGTATGTGTGGAAAGAATGTAAAGAATGGAAACATGAATGTGGCTAGAAGAGGCAGAAGGATGTGGCGTATATTTTCAACTCTAAGTACATGGATGTGTGTATATTTGAGAGGTGAAGGAATGAGCACATGTGTATGTAACTGGTATATATAGGCAGGGTACGTGTGGAAGACAGTATATATGTGTCTGCATCTGTGTAAGTTTGGAGTGGGGGGATCTTTGGGGGTGTGTATATGTGAGGGGATATATGTGTACTAGAAGGGATGGTTATCAATGTGGAAGGGGTCTATAGATGTGTATATAGTATTTGTGAATTTTGGGATAGGTGTTATGGACATGTACGAAAGTATATGCATGTAAAGAGAGAATATTGGTTTGTGATTAGTAGGGAAAGTAAGGAACAAATAGATGCAGATGTGAAGTACATGGAGTGGGTGCAGAAGTGGGATGTGCAGGAGGATATGGGTGTGTGTGCATATGTGGCAGTGGGTGGAAGATATATTTATGTTCATGTAAGGTATGTGGAGTTTGGGTGTGGATGTGCAAGATATAGATGTTTGTATAAGTGTCAATATAGGGGTAGAGGAAAGTGTGGTTCTAGGAGTGTGGTATGTATGGTATAGCTGTGGATAAAAGAGATGTGGAATGGAATATATAATAGTCTGTGTGAATACGTATGGAAGGTGAGAGAAATTTGTTGGTGGGTGTGGATGTGGAGCATATAGTGTGCGGGCATGTGGATATGTATATGAAAAAGAGTGTATGGGTCTCGTTCTGTGAGGGTATGTATGTGTAGGAGTGGACCTGGAGCTGTGTTCACGTGTGTCTTGAGGAGTGAGAAGTAATTGTATGCATGGGGGTGGGTGGGTGGCTGGATGTGTGAAGGTATATAGATATGGAGTGAATTAGAAGGAATATCTGTGTGTGCATAGGATGCTTAGAACTGTGGGACTGGGTGGGTTGGATAAAGACAGACACTAGAAAATTGATAGGCCCTACAAAACTCAGCCAAGCAAAAGTCTGGTAACAGAGACCTGGCTTGAAACTTAAGAGGTGTGAAGTTTGAGCCATGCATGGAAGTCCATGCTTATAATACCAGTACTTGGGAGGTGAAAGCATGAAGACCAGGAGTTCAAGATTAGCCTGGGCCACACTAGGCCCTGTCTTACCCTCCCCCTTACAAAAAAAGTGGTGCAAAATTTGAGCTGAATTTCCAATGGCATCTAAATGTTTCCAGAAAGGGATGGGGATGTGAGGAAGCCCGTGGCGCTTGGATAGGGGCAATGAAATAACATTATGACTATGATCATTAACACCAACTAGAGGATCAAGGCTGCCTGAGCTGACCTCCCAGCATTCCTTCCTCCCTCCTTGAGAAGCCAGCTTTCCTTCCAGACACCTGAAAGAGAACCATACCTAGCACCCCGACCCGATAGTTGAGGGTGATGACGATGACATTGCCATAACTCGCAAGGACGCTGCCATCAATCATGTTGCCTGTCCCTTCCATGTAAGAACCTCCGTGGATGTAGACCATGACAGGCTTAGCACCACTGTCCCGGATGTCTGCAAGGAGAAGGGGTGAGACACGGGCTAGGTGGGATGCCCTTCTTCCCCCACCCCCACCAGCCCAGGGGTGGGGTGTGGGCAGCAAAGCTATTCCAGGTGCCAGGACACCACCACCATCCCTGAGGGCAGGACTTGTGGAGCTGCTAAGCTCACGGTTCAAGTATTGGCCAGAGATAGCTGAACTTGGGTGATATTTTTAAAGATTTGAGTTTCAAGTGCTTCCCAGCTGAGGTGGCTGGATGGGCATGGTTCAGCTGGGCCTAGGTGGGCCACAGCTGGGCTCTGGGAGTGGGAGCAGGAGAAAGAGATAGGGCTTGGTGGTCCCTTAGCGGCATCAGGTGAGTCTCTGCCCTGGGCACCCAGGAGTCCTGGGACCTGACATAGCTTTGGCGAGCAGGGGCTAGGGAGTCCTGAAACCCCCAGGACTAGACCAGTTACATGGAAAAACGGCCATTGGCAGCAGCTGGCCCCCCCCAGTGCAGACAGAGACAAGAGGGGTGGGGATAAGGGGTGGCATGGGGAGAGAACAAGGAAAGTAGGGAAAAGGGGATGAATGGCAGAGATGGGGTGGGGGAACCTTATTGCTACAGTTTCTTAGCCACATGCCCATTTTCTCCATTCTCCCCGGGCAGACTTAGCTGGAAACAGTGGGAGTGGAGCAGAACTTAGACTGAGACAGCCTGCCCAGTCAGAGTTAGGATGCAGAAGAAGCCTCCTCTGAGGCCAGTGCCTGAGGGGCCATCAAGGGGCTGCTTCCCAAGCCCAGGCAGCACGATGTTGGGCTGGGGCAGTCAAGAGAAGGCTCCAGGCCTGACCCATGCCTGTTTCCTGTCAGTCTGAGCTGGGCCACTCTCTGCCACACTGGCACAGCCCTGCCCATTGCCGGTGGATTCCCTGAGCTGTCTGGCCCCTTGGGGGCATCTAAATGAGGGCAAGCCCAGAGCATGGATGGAGAAGGGAATGATCTCTGCTGCAGCATGAACCAGCCTGTTACTCCAAGGAGGAAGACTGGTCCCATCACCACCCAAGAATCTTAGGCCATTTACTGATGGCTGTGGTGTCTGGGCCTCAGCTTGGCTTGTTAGGCCACAGTCTTTCTGGTCTTGTCCCCAACCTACTGCAGTCTCTGACCTGTGACCATTTCTACCTGGGGGAGAAGGCTTGGGGAGGTTCTAGCCTTGGATGTCACTGTCTTGCTCCTTGGTGTGCCCTGGCAGGGCCCATCTTCCAGAAGCCAAGCTTCCCATGAGACCCAAAGGTCTCCTTAGTGAAACCCAGGCATCCCCTCATTATCCAGTTTTCTTTGTGCCTATTCCCTTGCACCCCACTCCCTGGCCCTGCTTGCTCTCCACAGTTCCTGCTGCCCAGTATGGGCAGGTGCCCATGAACCGTGGAAGATGGGAGAGGGTTGGGGGCCAGGGCCTCCCTATGGCTCTGCTTGTGGTCCCCTGCTCCTGCCAGCTGTGTCCATTACCCTGGAACTCCCAGTGGCCAACGAGGCCAAAGACGGAGGAACAGCCCAACGGCCTTGTACAGGAACAGAAACACACTAACGGACGGACAGACAGACAGACGGGGCTTCTCCCCACTGAGAAGGGGAGGGGCTCTGTGCCATGCACCAGCCGCCGCGCCCTGCAGCCCCCAAATACCTTCATCTTCATCCCCGTCATTATCCGCTAAGTCCTCGCCCTGTTTCTTAGCGCCGGATCCTGGGGACCAGACACGGGGAGACACAACAGCACAGAACAGAGAACAAAACAGAGAGAGAATTCAAAAACAGCATGACTGCAGCGTGGCCCAGCAAGCCAGCTCTGGGCCTAGGCCCAGGACAGGCAGGAGGGATGGCAAGAACTGAGGGAATGGGTGGGCTGAGGCCCAGACCTTCATCAGGATGATGGTGTTGCAGGCCTCTGCTGTGCTGGCCTCCCTGCACCTCCCTGCCCCGCCTCCCTGTCCCCAACCAAGTCCATTCAAAGTTAGGAAGGAGGTAGCAGCAGATGGGCTGGGGCACAGAGCCAGCGGCCCACTGGGGTGAAACTTCATTCTGGGTGGAACAGACTGCATGTATAAACACAGGCAGGCTGAGCTGGAGAGCAGGGACAGGTGAGAAGGTGAGGATTGATGTTGCCAGCATCTGTGGATATTGAGGTGATGTACTCAGGGCATAGGTGTGTACCAGGGACCCCAAGTCTGAGCTCCTAGGGTCCAGTGGGTAGGTTTGAGCTGGGCCTCAGCTGACCCTGGTTCCCGCAGGAGAAGATGGGAGATGAAGCTTTCCCTCTGGCCTTGTTCACTGGGGCCCCCTGCTTTGGTTAATGGCAAATGGGGTTCCTGCCCACAGGAACCAGTCTTGAGAGCAGCAAATGTTGCTCTGAGAGAGAGCCAGAGGGGGAGGGAGGGAAAGGGGAAAAGGAGAAGGGAATGGAGAGGAGAGAGAGAGAGAGAGAGAGAGAGAGAGAGAGAGAGAGAGAACAAAGAAGGATAATGGTAATAATTCCTACCATATACTGAATACTTCCCATGTGCCAGTCATTACACTTCTGCTATACTGTTTGATCCTTATATCCCAACGAGGTAGGCACTATCTTATTCCTGTTTCACTAATAGGGAACTGAGGTTCGGAGAGGTAAAGTGACTTGCTCAAGATCACACAGCTAGGAAGTGCTAGAGGTGAGAATCAAATCCAGGTCTGCTTGACTCCAAAGCACTTATGGTCTTTCCACTGCATCATGCCACCTTTCAGGAGTAGGAGAAAGGGGAGGGAAGAAATAGATGAGAGGAAGTAGAACATAGAAGGGAGCCAAGGAGAAGAGAGGAGAGAAAAGAGACCAGAGGGAGCAGAGAGACCTGGGGGTAGGCTGGCACAGTTTGCCATCCTGTTCTGAGGAGACTAGAAATGCATCTTGGAATGAACGGCTGTGGAGAGTCAATCTACTGCCTGATTGCTGGTCAGTGTGTAGAAATGGAAGTAATTTTGCTGGCACCCCACATCTTAGCCTTTTGCATCCATGAAACCAGATACCCTCAGCCTGGAGCAAGCAAACGGCCCTCTTTTTGTCAGTCTGAACTCTAGTGACTGGATTTCCTTATAGTCATTAATGAAAACAGGAACCACCCTCATACTATAAAATGGCTTTTCAACCAGAGCAAGAACCCAGCTCTAGTAGAAACAGCCTCTGGCTTCCTGAACTTCTGGTGGCACCTAACACCTGCCAGTCCTACCCTCAGAATCTCGATAGCACATGTATATCATCACCTACACGGTGGATAGCCCACCAAATGGAATCACTCATCCCTACACATAAATTGCCTTCAATTTGATGGAAGCAGAGGCTTGGGTAGGTCCTCCCCAGGAAACCCTTCCATTCTGGTGGCTCCTGTGAGGCTGAGCATACTTGAGTTGATGTATCATCCCAGCCTCCCTTGCATAGATGTCTTTGCTACTTCAGTGTGGTCCTTGATGAGCAATTCCTTGCTGCCATGGGCCTTACCCACAGATACTGTGCCATGCAGGATCCCATGCAGGCCACCCCATCTCACCTGTGCACATCATATCCCCAAAGAGGCAAGATTTGTAAATATTTCAAAGGGCTAAGAGACCCGGGATAGCTAAACAGCCAAATGCCCTCCCCCATCCTGTCTGAAGCCCACTTCCCAGACTGGCCTATGAACTTTGGGAATCCAGTGGGGTTTTAATATTTAGCTAGGAGCTTTTTCAGAACAGTGATTAGACTCCCTCCACATCCCAACAGCATCTAGCACATGGCCTTGCCCATTGTCTACAATTACAATTGGCATGTATTCATGCTGATGGTGGCTCAGCCCAGCAATCTGGCCAAAATCTCAGGATGAGCTTGGCCTGCCTTAGGCTCTTACTGGATCCCTGGGAGATCATTTTTCTGAGATGGTTAACAGTAATGCCATTTCTTCCTTACCCCACCTCACCTCACTATGTAACTCAGGGGAGCAGCTTTGAAATCCTTTCCCTGAATGCATGTATAGGTTAATGAAAGGTTAAAGACAGAATGGTCTTTCTTGCCTTCCCACATGGATATGGAAGCTCTTAAAGGAAAAAAGACTGACCTCTGAGCAGACTCACAGTGAGTTCAAGCCCAGCTTGAGCTACATAGCAAGACTCAGTCTCAAAACGAACCCCTAAACACAGCCAATCAAAGCAAAACAAAACAAAATAAAAAGACTAGTGTCTGAGTTAGCAGCAGAGCTAGGAGTCTGTCAGGGATTGTGCTTCCCAGACCTGTGTTCTCAGGCAGAACCATAGAGACCCTTCATTTGCATGAAAGCCCAGTGTGTGAGCTTCCTACTGTGTATGAGGCTGGGTGTGAAGAGAGGTGAAGCATGTCCTCAGGGGCATCATGTCTCACTCCATGGTTCAGTGTACATCAAAAGCACTCCATATACATGCTTTTGAATGATCAGATTCTCAACTCTGTCCCTAGAGCTTCTTATTCAGGAGGGAGTATCCCATCCCAGGAATCCTGGTGATTCCTCTCTGAGAAACCCCGCTCTAGGACATCAAAGGAAAACAGACCCCAAGCTTGCCAAATGATTGTAGCTTGTGATTGTCCACTAGTTCTTTAGACTGTTACCAGAGCTGAGTTGGCCCAACCCAGCCACATCTGTCTGACCCTTTTTACTTCAGAGTTTGGGAAGTGGGATTTCCAGGTGGGAGTTGCCTCCATGTGCTACAGTGGAAAGAACATGCCCTGATGATCAAGAGTCTCCCAGGTTTTGGTCTCAGCTCTGCCACAGACCAGCAATAAGGTCTTGAGCAGCAGCAAGTCACTCCCCTGGGCCTGTTTCCTCATCTGTAAAATTGCGATGCTGATTCCTGCCTTAGTTGCTTCCCAAGATGTGGGGAGGATTTTATGAGGTAAATATGAGAGCCCTTTGCAGAAGACATAAAGTGGTATTCGAACAGGAAAAATTACTGTACAGGGGAACAAATTACTCTCAACAGAAGGGTAAATTTAAAATTTGCTTTCTTTAGAGTCTATCGTTCCCAGAGACTCCTAATTTCTGCCATAACCATACCCTGGGTCTCTCAGATATGCTCTGGCTAGAGGCGGTGAGGTACCGGTTGGTGTGTGTCAGGGAAGAGCTGCTAAATCTGTGTACCCATCTTTCTTTTAAGCTTCAGCGGGGAAGAGTTGAGTCTAGACTTTCAACCCAGGGCAGGGCACTGGGGAGATGGTCCTATAGCTGCACTGGCTACAGGAGCAGGTGGAGCTTCTGGCTCCATCTTAGATGCCTGGTTTCTTCTGAGCTGTTACCAAGAGAGCCACTGGCTCTATCTTTGGTATACTCTTTAGGGTGAATTTGGAGCTGGGAGGATTGGAAGCAATGGGCTTGCTGCTTCTGCTCTGAACCTGCCTTAGGCCACCGAATCCTCCCTGCCAAGCAGCCCTGGCCCTTGGAGGAGGTGAACCTTATGCCTGCTCACTGCCCCCTCAACCTGGGCTACTTGAAAGAAGGCTGGGTCCTCAGGGGTAAGGGCAGGTGGGCAGGTAGCCCTCCCTCTCTCTCTCTCTCCCTCCCCGCCGGCTCGCTACCTACCTCCTTTCCTACAAATTTTCTTGTTGGGCTTTCGGGCGCATTCCTTGGAAATCCGCTTTACTGTAAAATGAATAAAAAACTAAAAAATAACAGGAGGCCTCTGTCCAGGGGCATGCATCCCCCCACCCCCAGGCCCCATTAGCTGAGCTGCTCTGCAGCGGCACATGGCAGAGAGCCTGTCCCACCATCTCCTTGTTTCTGTCACTTACCTTAATGTGACCCCCGCGGGAGGAGGCATCAGCTAGTGGAAGAGGAGGCACCTAAGCATTGCCAACCAGGCTTGCCCCCCACCCCCCACGCACACCCAGCCACACACACCTACCACCTTTTGAAGCAGGTGGAAAGGCAACAGGGGGGCCTGGTGGAGCCAGCATCCTCCCGCGGGCAGCTGCCAGCAGTGACCCATACTCCCCCAGGGTACCCCCATCCAGCACTGGACCTAGACCTGTCAAAGTTCTCAGGCCTGGCCAGCCCCCTCCTGGCATCAATGTCACTCACACATGGGAGCTTGGACAATGCTGGGGGAAGAACAGGGAAGGGGGAGGCCAAGCAGAGTGATGGTTAGAAGCATTTTCACAGACAGACAGACGCATGCTGCAGGGCACACAACCACATGCAAGCCACAAACACAACAGGGCAGGCAGGAGGCAGGGAGGGCACAGTGCCTGGCTGTGGGACTCACCATCCTCCGTGGGCACATAGACATTCAGGTAGAGGCAGTCTTCGTTGGGCTCCTGGATATAAGTAGCGACGATATCCAAGTTGGCAGTGAACCAGACTGGTAGCATGACTTCGGGTACAGCTGTATGGATGTTCTGGGGGCACACTGGGGGAAAGTGTGTGGCGTTCCGGATGCCCGACCAGGATGGGGGTGGTTCAGGGGGCAGGAAACGTTTCTCGCCGATGGGGGGAGCTGCATAGGGCACCCCCAGGTATTGGTCCACAGGCCCCAGAATCTCACTGGGCAATGGTACCCGGGCACCCCTTAGCTTCCCAAAGTGAGTATTGACTGTGGGTGCTGGGGCCTGGGTACTGGCCCTCAGCACCAAACTGAGGAACCACAGGGTGAGGCACAGGCTCCGGCCAACTGTGGGCGTGGGGCTCAGGGACAGCGAGGGCGGGCCAAGCCGCAGCCACATGTTCCGGGCAGGGGGACTGGCAGGAAAGGCAGACTCCAGGGTCACAGCATCAGCCCAATAGGCAGCCCCTTCATGGCCACACTGACTTGAACCTCAAAACTGAGCTCTCGAGGGACACCTACAGGTGCCCAGCAATGTAGAGAGCAGGTCGTCCAAGCACCACCACTTCGAAAAGAGGACTCTCTCAGGGCCAGACAGGCCTGTGGAAAGAGGGAAGCATGTGTCATCCAAGATGGTCTGTGAGGGCTGCAGAGTTGGTCTTTGGGGTCCTGCTGGGCTTGGCCTATGTTCCCACAGTTAGGAGAGGATTTACATGCCCAGAGTTCCAGGGACTCACAGGTGGTCTACTACTTTTCAGAACTATTTTATGTGCCTAGCCATGATTGGAAAATCTAAGGGGACAGACTGAGTGATGGTTGGATTGTTGCCATTGCAAATTCACAGTCCCCAACTCCAACTCCATAGCTAATGGAGTTTATCTGGGTCAGATGGAGTCAGAGGAGGATGTAGTGGAGAGCTGGAAGTTGAGTCCTAGTACAGTTGCCAATCTCATTCCAGGCATAAGAGAGGAAAATCAGCAGGTAGACAGAGGGTCCCACAGAGAGACCTCCTTTACTCCCAGGCGTGCAGGGAGCACACAGTCATTCACCTAAGGCCACAAGACCCTTCCATACCCCCTCCTTGACATTTCTCCTCAACCTCCACTGCCGCCAAATCCTTAAACCTTGATCCTTACTGCTGCCTGGCTCTTCATTCACACCAAACGTCAGAACTGGAGGCAGAAACTGGTCTACTGAGCACACTAGGCCTTGTGGATACTAGTCCAGTGTAAAATAAACAACAGAGTGTGGGGACACACAGTCGGAAACTCATGAAATAAACTCACAAACACTCAAAGAGGGAGTTAGACAGACCAAGCCAGGATCATAGACACTGCGATATTCATTTGCAGAGACATACATTCCAAATCCACAAAGATTCTCCTCAGATAGTCCCACATTCCAAGACAGAGCACTTCACACAGCCAGCACCTCACAGAGCGACACATTCGGACACACACAGAGACCTACTGAAACAAATTCACACATACCCGCATAGGTAAATATCCAGACATATGCAGCATAATGGTGACACATAGGTGGAGACAGAAACAGAAATAGCAACACATTCAGACACACAGGCCTTCTGACACAGTTACACAGTCAATACATATACACAGGCATACAGCATATACAGCATACAGATACTCCCACATGGACACACATACACCCAAGCAATCATGAGCACATATACACACCCTGCAGGCACATTTAGTTTCCCCCCATTTCTCCCGCCTTCAGGATTGCAGGCCTGTTCCTTTAAGAAGTGGCTGAAGGGGTGGGGGAGGGAGATTGGGAACAACCGGCAATAGGCAATTGGCCACCACAAGAAGGGAATGTGAATGTGTGTGTGTGTGTGTGTGTGTGTGTGTGTGTGTGTGTGAGAGAGAGAGAGAGAGAGAGAGAGAGAGAGAGAGAGTGGGTAAAGTGACTAAAGGGATAGGGGCTCAGAGGAAATGGGGAGCAAAGTATGAGGGGGGGAGATCCCAGACTGCCCAGAATGCACCCTGGTGGAGAGGAGGAAGGGAAGGGGAAGGAAGGGGTAGGAGTAGGGAGGTGGGGCAGGAGGGGAGTGGGTGGGTGTGTATATGGGGGGTATAGTCCGCAGCTGAGTTCACACAATCCCCCCATTCACCGTCTCCATGGCAACTCTGGGGCACAGACCGCTCATTCACATGGCTTCCCCGCCAGTAAACCCCCCCTTAACCCCCTCGGTGCTGCCCCCACCTCACAAATTCCATTAACCCTTTCAGGATGCCTTCCTTTCCAGGAACCCTTCCGCGCCAAATGCCAAATTCCCCCTTTGAGTCTATTCGCTGCAGCCCCTCCCCCTGTGAACACCTAGACAAACCAACCGACCCCCAAATGCCCTCTGTACCCTAGGACCCACTGTGAGTTCCCAAGGCAAGGATCTCCATTCTGGTCCAACTTACAATTTGGGAGCAGGCAAGGGGAGGCAGCAATGCTGGGATGATAATGGCATCTAAGGGGACTTTGAGGGCTGGAGCGGTATTGGGCAAGGGGCATTGTGTAGGAATGGAACTGCAGTATTGGGGGCTCCGCAGATTTGGAATGGTATTGGAGGATGGAGTTGCACTAGAATGGGGAGGATAGAATAAAGGCCTCCATTGGGTGGGGGGGCTGCAGAGAGTGGGGGAGGGAACCAGGCTATGAGATGCTATGATGGAAGGGGGATGGGGGAGTGCTCTGCAGGGGAGGGGGTGTTGGCAATATGCAATACTGAAATGGGGCTGGGGGCCCTGGTTAGGGGTATTTTGGTGAGCATGCAGGTTGGACTGTAGAAATAGAGGGACCATGGGCGGGAGGGTGATAGGGATGCAGGATTTAGGGAGGAGGTGGAGGAGAAGCAAAGCAAGGGAGGGAGGGTTGGGAGGTCAGGGGTGCCTATGGGGAACACGGGGTTGAGAAGGATGGGGGCCACTGGCCAGGAAGGTAGAGGAGCCAGGGATTGGGAGGGGACAGGATGGGAAAAAGGTATGGGCAGCTAGAGGATGAGAGACCCAGGCAGGCGGCCTCACCTTTTCCCCAGGCGGCTGCGGACGACTGAACCCGGCCACAGACCACCCATATCGCCTCCAGGCCAAGGGCTCGGCACCCGAATCCCCGAGATCAGCTCTCTGGCAGCCTAGCTGCTGTGCCCGCGCACCGAGGGGGCGCGCTGCGCGTGCCCGGACACGGGGGGCGCGGTCCCTGCCATTAACTCCTTTTGTGCCAGAGATGGCTCAAGTCCTGGGGCATGGCCCAATTTCCCACCCACGACTCTTCATGTTCAGGCAAACTCTGCTCACACACTCTCGCTCTCACACTTCACACCCCAAGCTATCAGACAGGTAGGTGATCTTCCAGGACATACAGTCCAAACTTTATCTGTAAAGCTTAAGACCTTGACACAAAGGGAGACTGAGGCACTGCAGGCTATCCCAATTGCATGCCACAAGGACCTCATTTAACAACCCTAACCTCTCCTCAGCAGCAGCACCACTCAAGCGGCAGCCACCAGTGGGGTTACCTTGCCCTCATCCTGTGATTCCCCCAAAGGTCAATGTCATTCCGTCTCTTTCTTCTGTTAGAGCAGGTCAGATTCAGATTGTCAGTTGTCTGCCAGTTGTCTGTCCTTTTTGGCCTCTACCCTCTTCCCATTCAATGCTTTTGTCTAGTTTCTGTATGTAGTACACCTGTCCAGTTGGCCTAGCACATCTTCCACCCAAATCCCCACTGAGTGTCCCTTATCCGGGCCAAACTTCTATTGCTGGGGCTCCTGGGAGTATCTATGCCAGGATAGAATAAGTCAGAAAAACACTTTAGTCATGCTGGCTTAACCACATTAGGGTGCTCCATTCCTTGTACTCTAAACTCTTAACTTTGCCAAACCATGTGAAGGAGGGCTTTGTGGGATGGATCTCAAAGAAGGATTTTTCAAAAAATAACTTGGATATTAATTGATTGGTACTCCTGTTTTTATCAGCACGCTTGTCACTTCCCAGTGATAGGTTGCAACTATAGTTTAGAGGGGGCTCTCCAGTTGTCAAATCTTCTTGTACCACCCAACCACCAGGCTAGCATAGTCCTTTTCCAGCCCCTACTAAGTAGACTAGAAGACAACATTGTCATAAAGCAGTTGGCTCTCTTGCATAGCCTTGAATCAAGGGCCTAAGGCAGACCAGGATGGAGGTGAGAATGCCCAGCCCATGGTACAAAAGTGACTCCGAAGGAAGTTTTGAGTTTTTTCTACTGTACATTGGGAGTGAGCAATAGTCACCCTGGGAAACTGCCAAGGTGGGTCATGTGAAAACATGAGGCTCCAGCAGCAGGGCAGAAAGAAGCAGGTGCTGCTTTTTACTGAGCTCTCTTCCTGCTAGGGCCACTCTGGCCTTCTACCACCTGGTCTTTGATAGCATGTGCCAATGGAGGGCAATTTCTCAGCCCAGAAATGTGACTCTCAGAGAATTTCTGTAGCCTATAAAAAGGAAACCACTTGGTATATGATGGGGACCACATGAGGTGGTAAAAGGGTAGGCAGTGTCTGTCACCTCTGCCCTTGCTCCCAGCTTGTTTGAGGCCCAGCACCTTGAATGTTGTGGAATGAGGATGGGGTTCCATTGATGTTTTTCCCCTCTGGCCTAATGACCCTCTTCAATCTTCTCAATCCCAGTGGTATGTCACTCATGGAGTAAAGCTGTAATGAATCTGCCCTTCTTAAAAGACTGAGGGCCTATACCTCAATACAGGCTGCTTTCAACTAGAGAAGAAAGGGTAGTACTCAAACTAGAATTCAGAAATGTAGAGGGCAGAGGATAAACAAGGAGATGATGTGGAAGGCATGAAGGCTCTGACTTGTTGATCCTTCACTGCCCTGGCACTCTCCCATGAAACCACCATTTGACATGCAGACTCACACACTCCCTTTGCAAAGAAGCTCTGTGTATTGGGTGCAACAGCTCTGGGGTCTCTATATAAATAATATACAAAACCCAACAGCTCAATGCTTCACATTAACAAAAATACTAAAAATTCAGTAAAAATGGAGCCTGAGGGAAGGGCCCCAACCACTACTGGTGCTAGCCCAGGAAGGGGACTGGGAATTAAGCAGAAAGGTTGGGCCACATCCAGTGTACAAGCAGTTCCTCCAGGTGACTCAGTAGCGTCCAAATATGTTGGTACTGGGCTGTGGCTGGGTATCTGTGGAAAATGAGAGGTTGTCAGGGCTGTGAGTATGAGGAAAGCTAGTCAGGTGGGAAAGGAAAGGGGAGGAAAAAGAAGGGAAGCCCCACAATCTGGGTCTGAAGCCAGCACCTCAGCTGCTTTTGCCTGCCCCATGCCCCACTTCTTCCCCAGACTCTCTTTGGGAAAGAAGCAAGCTTACTGGAGAGCTGTTGTTGAAGTTGCCTGACCAAAGCTGCTGTCTGTTGCTGCTGTTGGGTCTGCTGAAGCCCCTGGCGCTGGAACTGGAGTGGAAACAAAGTGGAAGATAGAACTTCAACCTTCCACCTCCTTCTTCACCCTTACCTCCTAACTCACTGAAGAGTGCCATGCCTTGCCTCCTAAAACTACCCCATCAGGCTGTCCCCAACATGGGCAGGCTGTGTGCCTGTTCTGTCCAGCTATCCCTGAGCCTGAGGCTGTAGTCCAGCAGCTACCTGGGGTTGGGACTGGGGCTGGGGTTGGGGAGGAGCTGCTTGTTGCTGCTGCTGCTGCTGGTGTGGTGGCTGCTGCTGCTGTTGCTGCTGCTGCTGTTGTTGCTGCTGCTGCTGTTGCTGCTGCTGCAAAAGCTGAAGATGTAACTGCTCTTGCTGTTTCTTGTAAAACTCTTGTAGTTGTTGCTGAATAAACCATTTTGACTTTAATAAATAAAGGCAAAAGTTTCATGTATTATAAATCTCCTAAACTCTTCTAGACTGGCACATGCCAGACTCTCTTTGGGAAAGAAGCAAGCTTACTGGAGAGCTGTTGTTGAAGTTGCCTGACCAAAGCTGCTGTCTGTTGCTGCTGTTGGGTCTGCTGAAGCCCCTGGCGCTGGAACTGGAGTGGAAACAAAGTGGAAGATAGAACTTCAACCTTCCACCTCCTTCTTCACCCTTACCTCCTAACTCACTGAAGAGTGCCATGCCTTGCCTCCTAAAACTACCCCATCAGGCTGTCCCCAACATGGGCAGGCTGTGTGCCTGTTCTGTCCAGCTATCCCTGAGCCTGAGGCTGTAGTCCAGCAGCTACCTGGGGTTGGGACTGGGGCTGGGGTTGGGGAGGAGCTGCTTGTTGCTGCTGCTGCTGCTGGTGTGGTGGCTGCTGCTGCTGTTGCTGCTGCTGCTGTTGTTGCTGCTGCTGCTGTTGCTGTTGCTGCTGTTGTTGCTGTTGTTGCTGCTGCTGCTGTTATAAGGGTACAAGAGATACTTGTGAAGACAGCAAGGGAGCTGTGACTCCGTATTGAAAGGATGGCAACAGGGAACAGAAAGGGAGTTAGGAGCAAGAAATAGGGAGGACACTGTCCATATCTGCTCTTCTTGGACTGCTGTATTGAAAGAAGTCAAACCTAGTGTACCTGGCAGGCAGTGTTTTCCCCACAGAGATTCTCATTAAATGAAAGGGGAGAGCCACTTAAGCGCCATGAGAGAGCCCAGCATGGTGGTATAGGCCAGCCTGGGTTACCTAATGAGTTCCAGATCTTGTCTCAAAAAAAAGAAAAAACAAAGAAAATAAAAAGTGCCACCATAGGTCAGCCATTCTGCTGGGTGCTTTGCATACTACCTCACATTTAATCTTGGAGATAGTGTGGGAAGAATATGACCTTAGCACCTTCCTTGGGCTCCCAAGTCTCAGCCCCAGGGCCTTACCCGCAGCATCTGCTGCTGCTGCTGTTGCTGCCGGATATGGTACTGCTGCTGTTGCTGCTGCTGCTGCTGCTGCTGCTGCTGCTGCTGCTGCTGCTGCTGCTGTTGTTGCTGTTGCTGTTGTTGTTGCTGTTGCTGTTGCTGCTCAGGCAGGATGGAAGTTGAACGGACGCCTGCCTGGACACTCTGGGCACTCAGCGAAGTCATAGTACCCATCATGGGTGTCTGCTGCAGTGTTTGATGTGAAAACCTCCAAAGACAAGAGGTCTAGAGGTCAAGGCACAGGGCAGAGAAAGGGGGCGGTACAAACCCTGGGTCCCTGACCTGAAAGAAACTAACAAGTTATTGCATTCATTTCTCTTGGCACTAACTCGAGGAGCCCCTCTGGAGTCCAACAGGCTTCTAGGTCAGATAATAAGGCACCAAGACAATACGCCATTTTAGTGTCTCATAACCTTAACGGTTAGGAATTTTTCAATTCTGTTTTAGTTACTTTTCTCTTATGAAAAATAGTCTGCACATGAAAAGCATTCTATAAACACTTATCAAGTTTTTTTTTTTTTTTTTGTAGTTTCTGTTGTTGCTCCCCAGAAACATTTCATTTCGGCTACTCCATAAACCTTTTCTACCCAAATCCACACACCTTTGACAGTCTTTGGCTAGGCTCCCTGCCTCGTCTTCCCCCACTTTCCCCTACGCATTCTGTCCATTCATTCCACACTAGTCTAATGCTAAACCCCTATCACTTTCCTGATCAAAACAGTCCTTTTTCTAGGCATTGTGTCTCAATGCTACAGGCTAGCATTCAAAGCTATCTGTCAACCTGCCCCCTCCAAGCCTAGCCCCTACTCCTGCCCTAGCACAAATTCCACACTATATCCAAGCTCTGATCCTTTCTATTCTTCAGACACCTCACTCCTTCCAGTCCCACATCTTTGTTCCTGCTACATCTTCTACCTGGAATGCCCTTCCTTCTCCTCTTCTCCCCAAATGCCAATCACAGCTACCCTTCAAAGGCTAGCTCAAGTTTGATGTCCATGAACCTTTCTCCCATGACTCAGGTCCATACTGACAGAATCAAGTCCCATTTCATATCTTGGCACCAACTGCACAAACAAGTATAGCTTTGTCCATACTATTCTATACACATTCTTCTGTACTGTCTTTTTCTCCTGTGTAATAGCTCTACTTCTCAGCTTAGTGTGGTGGCACACACCTTTAATCCCAGCATTTGGGAGGCAGAGGCAGGCAGATCTCTGTGAGACTGA